ATAAATATACTACATAGAGCTCGAATGACTTGAAATATATAAAAAAGACTACCAGGTCACAAAATTGTGCCAGGACTCCCAAAATGCCTCTACTGATGGTAAGAAAAAAATAGTCGATTTAAATAGTTATTTTTAAAGCTTAATAATATACTAATTATATAATTAAATTTAGCAGACTATGCAATTATATTGTGCAAAATCATAATTGAATATTAAATTAACAAAAAAACTCTCTAAAGTCATACACAAAAGAGAGAGAGAGAGATAGTAAGAAGAAATAGTTTTTTTAAATAGTTATTTTTAAAGCTTAATAATACCTAATTATGAATTAAATTGAATTAATAGTAATAAATAATATTTAATTAAGAAAAAAATAAATAAAAAATTATACTTAATTAAAGAAAAAAAACAAACCAAAAAGTCATATATAGACGAAAGAAAGAGAGAGAGATAGTAAGAAAAAAATTAATTAAATAGTTATTCTAAAGCTTAATAATATACTAATTATATAATTAAATTTAGCAGGCATGCAATTATATTGTGCAAAATCATAATTGAATGTTAAATTAATGAAAAAACCCAAGTTATATACAGAAGAGAGAGAGAGAAATAGTAAGAAAATATAGTTAATTAAATATTTATTTTTAAAGCTTAATAATATAGTTATTTTTAAAGCTTGATAATATACTAATATCTAATTATGTAATTAAATTTAGCAGACTACACGATTGTATTGTGCAAAATTGTAATTGAATATTAAAATTAATAAAAAAAGTTCCTAAATTCATACACAGGAGAGAAAGAAAGAAAGAGAGATAGATATTAAGAAAATATAGTCAATTAAATAATTATTTTTAAAGCTTAGTAATACACCTTGTAATTAAATTTAATTAATATTAATAAATTATATTTAATTAAGAAAAAACCAAATAAATAAATTATACTTAAAGAAAAAAAAACCCTGTACACGGAAAAGAGAGAGAGATAATAAAAAAATATAGTCTATTTAAATAGTTATTTTTAAAGCTTAATATATACTAATTTAAATATTTATTAATAATTTATTAATAATAATAATGTTTTTTTATTTATTCATTAATATTATTAGGTAATAATAATTTTTTTCAATTTAGCAAACTACAGAAGCATAGTTCGCTAAAACTACTATAATTATGTAATTATATGTTAATAAATTAATGTATTAAACTTTAATGCATAATATTATTTAAATAGAACTCTTATTAGTACTTCTCTTTCATACAATTTTTTAGGTATATATTTTTGATTTAATTTATTATTATTATTATTTATTTATTTATTTAAATAATTTATTAATAATAATAATGTTTTTTTATTTGTTCATTCATTAATATTATTAGATAATAATAATTTTTTCAATTTAGCAAACTACAGAAGCATAGTTCACTAAAACTACTATAATTATATAATTATATATTAATAAATTTATGTATTAAACTTTAATACATAATATTATTTAAATAGATCTCTTACCAGTACTTCTCTTTTATACAATTTTTCTGGTATATATTTTTGATTTAATTTATTATTATTATTATTTATTTATTTATTTAAATAATTTATTAATAAAAATAATATTTTTTTTATTTATTTATTAATTTTATTAGGTAATAATAATTTTTCTTTGATTTCGCAAATTACAGAAGCATAGTTCACTAAAACTACTATAATTACATAATTATATATTAATAAATTTATGTATTAAACTTTAATACATAATATTATTTAAATAGAACTCTTACTAGTACTTCTCTTTTATACAATTTTCAGGTATATATTTTTGATTTAATTTATTATTATTATTATTTATTTATTTATTTAAATAATTTATTAATAATAATAATATTTTTTTTTATTTATTCATTAATATTATTAGGTAATAATAATTTTTTTTCAATTTATCAAACTACAGAAACGTAGTTTGCTAAAACTACTATAATTACGTAATTATATGTTAATAAATTTATGTATTAAACTTTAATATATAATATTATTTAAATAGAACTCTTATCAGTACTTCTCTTTCGTACAATTTTTCAGGTATATATATTTTTGATTTAATTTATTATTTAATTATTTATTTATTTAAATATTTATTAATAATTTATTAATAATAATAATATTTTTTATTTATTCATTCATTAATATTATTAGGTAATAATATTTTTTTCGATTTAGCAAACTACAGAAGCGTAGTTTGCTAAAACTATTATAATTACATAATTATATACTAGTATATTTATTAAACTTTAATATGTATTATTATTTAAATAGAACTTTTTTTATAACTTTGTATGTGATTCCTAAAGATACTTTGATTCACCAATAGTTTTTTATTAAATGTATCTTACCAATGACCTTTTTTTTTCAAAAAAAAAGAACAGACATGAATATCTTAATGAGAGCTATATATATATTATATTATTATAATAAGAACTAACACATTTATAAAATTCAGTTTTTAAATAAAGACATTGAATTGATATTTGCAAATAAAACAAAAAAAAGGTTTACTTTCTAAGAAATTAGTTATATATCTTCACTATATAACTAATTATCAGTTAAATTAGATGAACTATTTAAGGTGACTAAAAATCCAAGTAGTAATGATAAAATTTTTAAAATTAATTATAAAGAACTTTATTGTTTTGGTCATAAGTATACCATATTCAATATTAATTCTTTAATATTTTTTATTTAATAAATTTAATTTTTTAATAAAGGAAGTGATAACAATGATGAAGAAAGTAATAAAGACAATAACAAAGCTAATATGAAAGGTGATAACAAAAGCAGTAAGAAGGGTAATGATGAAGCTAACAAAGAAGGGAACAAGAAAGGTAATGATAAAGTTGACAATGAAAATAACAAGGAAGATGATGAAAATCATAATAAAGGTGATAAAGAAGACGACAAGGAAGATGATGATGAAGATGGTAATAAAGGTGATAAAGACAAAGAAGAAAGTGACAAGGAAGATGATGAAGGTGATGAAAGTGATGAAGAGGACAATGAAAATATTGATAGAAGAATTATTAAACAACAATGTAAATCTATAATTTAATTGGTTTTATTAGTTTAGAAAAAAAATACTTACTTTAATTTTAATTTTAGGCATTGTGACAAAAACTTCTAAAAGAGTTAATTGGCCCACAATACCTACTTTCCTTCAAGAAGTATCACTGGATATTATAAATTACTATGTCATTTTAGCATCTATTACAAAAAATATTTTTTTGACAAAATTGAAATTAATCTACCAAAAAAAATTGCAACACTTAAAAACAATAGAGGCGAAATTGTATTGGAGCCAATCAACCCTTTCTAAATTAGAAAGACAGTAATAAATATTAAACTTCCTAATTTTGAAAGGGTTAGTAAAAGGCAAGCTAATCAAGACCCTTATTTATATTTTGGCTATTTTGCTAATTTTCAATCTACTAAAAAAAAGAAGATATTAACTGGAAATAAATTAAAGGTTTCAAACCTATACATAAACTATTAGCATTTGAAAGTGAATTGACTGTAATAGCACCCTTTTATGATAAAAATTCATTTATTAAAAAAGATGATTATTATAAAAGTCTTCTTAATTATCTAAAGGAACTTTCTA